GTCATTTTGACTTAATTAATAATCAGTTGTGGTCTAGAAGTCTCTTGTTTAAACCAATTGGAACCCAGTGAGTGAGCAGGGCTTAGTGATTAAAAGTTGGTTCGGAAGACTGATTTGGTGTGAGAGTTACAAACTAAATTGTGTTTGTTGTGTTTGAGGGAGAACATTGTTTCACTTGGTACAGGACTTGTCTGTCAGTTTGCTGTCTTGAGATAACTTGTGGATTGCTGTGATACGGAAAGCTGTGCCACTGGTGTGTCAAATGCCAAAAGGATTATCCATGGTGGACAGGTTATAGTAGAGCTCCCAGATTAAGAGATTTCAGGAAGCAGGATTTGCCATCCACTTCTTAAATAACAGGTCTCTGAAAATCCTATGAACAGTAGAGGAACGCGGATAGTCATAGTAGTAGTGGTAGAGTTCGAGATTGGAAGTAAGTCAAAACGAGGAAACATAATGGCAAATATCATTTAATAATTGGAACATAGAATGTCTGTAGCATCTGTGTTGGAAAACTAGCAATTGTGAAAAATGAAATGGAATGCATGAACATCAGCATACTAGGCATTAGTGAGATAGATAGATAGATTAGCTTTGGCCACTTTAAATCACATAAACTTACGGTATACTGTCCTGGGAATGAAAAACAACAATGGTGTTGCAGTCATAGAAAAAAGTCAATTTCAAATTCTATCCTGAAATACATTGTTGTCACTAATAGTAATAATACATTGTTATCCATACACATACAATGATGACTCATTAGTAAAACTACTATTCCAATATATGCTTCTACATCAAGAGCTAAAGAGAAAGAAATTGAAAACTTTTATCAAATCTTGCAGTCCGAAATTGACCAAACATACAGTCAAAATGTGTTAATGATTAGTGACTGGAATGCAAAAGTTGGAAACAGTGAAGAAGGAATAGTAGTCAGAAAAGATAGACTTGGTGATAGAAATAAGGCTGGAAGTAGAATGGTTAATTTTGTGTTTTCAATTACTTATTCATTTCAAATACTCTTTTAAAAAGACACAAATAGATGGGATGCGTAGGAATCAGATTGACTATATCTATGGAAGGAATCATTGGAGAAGATCAGTTAAGCTCAATATCAGCACTCAAAACTAGGCCAGGGGCAGACTCTGGGTCAGACCATCAGTAACTTATTTCTAAGTTCAAGTTTGTGGGTTTTTTTCCCCCTAAGTTCAAATTTTATGATACATTTTGTGAAATGACATGTTACACTATTTGGATATTGGGTGAGCACCACATTATTATGTACAGATAGTCCTCATACAATCTGCAGTTAAATCCCATAAAGCCTTTTAGATTAAAACCTTTTGGAGTCAGCCAGACAAAGCTCTGGAGCTGTAGTCCCTGGATATAGGGGCTGGCTTTGCCTGCTTTGTGCCTGGGCCAGGCAGGGGCTGTGGCCTTATGCCAGGGAACAAGGCATTTGTGAGCATCTAGACTTAGGACAGGGCAGGGGTATGAGATGGGAGGGAATGGAAGGGCACTAAGGGGCAAGGAGTGGAGGACACAGGGACCCAGCGTGCAGTGCTGGGAACACAGCCACTTCCTTATCAAGCGCAGCAACCTCCTGGAGTTGGGATCCCAGGTGTGCCCTGGGCCTGCACTACCACAGCCCTCAGCTGGAGCAAAGGAGAGGCGGTGGGCATGGCCCTGCACGTAGCTGCTGGGGAGTTGGTGTGGGAGGACTGGGGGTAGGGGGTGATGTCTGAAGGAGCTATAGGAGGAGAGGGTACTGGGATGCGCCCTGGAGCCCTGCTGCTCCCCCACTCAAGATTTAGGATCTTTAAAGCTATTGTTTGTTTTTTGTTGTGGTGTTTCATCTACTTAGAGCAACTCATAGCTTTCCCTCCAGTGGGTTTCCAGAAGCAGCAGATTACATGGGAGGACAGATTCAAATCACGTCTTGGAGATTAAAGTGTAGCTTCATATTGTTAGGCCACCAGAGCTCCCCTTAAAGCCATTTAAAAGGAAATAAGAAAAAGGAGAGCTGCTTTTTCCTTTAAAAATAAGGGCAAAACCCCCACCAACTTTATGGGACCACAGACATATATGTAGTTAGACATTGTTTTGACAGATGTTAAACAGTGTGCATGTATCTTTAGAACTACTTCTTTGTAAATGCAGACGATTTTCTCAATTTAGAGCCTTCAAGTGACTTGAGGTTTCTATGTGAATATGAATTTGTGAAGATGAATGTGTTTGGGGCTTTTTTTCTAATCATCCCCAAAGAGATGTTACCAATTTTTTCCCCCTCTCCCTTCCCCTTGTTTCATTACACATTTCTCAGATGTTATAAAGTTTTAAAAATCCCTACCATGTACATTCATTTGGTTTACAAATGTGTTGACAAAGACTGCATATAGGAAGAAATGAATTTTTAAACAGGAAAACTATTAGACTACTTTCAGTGTGGCCTTCAGCCAACATGTAGATGCCTCTCACGGCGGATTCATCATGTCCGGCCTTCATGCCATCTCTGCCTTACCAGGCATAATGGCCTTCCCCAGAGACTCGACCCTTTGCTCACATGTCCACAGTATGTGAGACAGTGTCTCACCATATCCTGGGAGCATCTGTAGAGGGTCTCAGAAAGAGGGAAGGCCCTTAGGAATGGCCCTTCTACTGGAAAGTCGACACCACAGCTTCAACGGTGATCAGGTGTTTCAGAAGCTGTGAGGATGGTACAGGATCAGGCAGAGGTTTGTTGTTCACACCCATCTCTGTGAGTCCGATATGACATGAGGGCACCTAACAGTAACAGCAGCCTTAACTGCATGTGGCTCTGCTGAGAGGCTCCTTTTAGTGACCCGCCCCCATGATGCTTTACTTTCCCAGGTGGATTTCTGAGCTTACTTCCATTTTTCATAGGCCCTCTTCTTGACTCTCACATTGTTATCACCTGATCTTTATCTGAGTGAACTGCCATAATGTGGGAGGAAGGGAGCGAGGAGGGATGGTGACTCTTGATTTCCAGGAGCTCCTATGCATGCATATAAAGAGGCCACATAGACACTGAAATGGTCAAGTTGATGGTGGAGTTGGGTGAAGGAGAAACCATACAAGAAGCCATCAGTGGTTAGAGGGAGGAGATTGGCAATGATAGCAGAGAAGAAGGTCTGAGATCATAGGACTGGGATTGGTCAACTTGGGTTGAGGGCAAAACAGAAGGGTTTTTTGTATTATGAAAACAAAACATTGCCAGTTCAGCAGTTTCTCCATGGTATAATCCAGCGACATTGGTTACATTCTTCATGTTGTACAACCCTCATCACTGTCCTTTTCTGGAGGACAGAGTTCTGTATGTAAGTAAGTGTGTTGATGGAGAAGAGGTAGCAAGGAGCTAGGAAATGATGAAGCTGGAAGGGTTTCAGAGTCTCCACAGAGCAGATTGAGATTCATTAAAGAGGCGAGAAGGAAGACAGCTCAGAGATGAGGAGGATAATAAGGTCCAGTAAGTGAATAGGGGCTGCAGAAAAGAGGCAGTAGGTAGGGAGAAGAGTGTGGTTGGCAGAGTTATATCTGCAGAGATGGAGGATTACTGTATGGATAAGCAGGATTCAAAGTCATTGCCGTAAGTAAGCTGGGCTTGGCATGGCCTAGTCTGGTGGCCGAGTCATCTAGGATCCCAAGCACCACTTAACTACTCAGAAATGGATTGCCCTGCCGGGAACGTTTGCAGACGTGCTGATTGAGTCACTGTGTCAGGAGTAACTGCAGTGACTTCTGGGAGCCTGCGAGTAGGGAATGGAGCTACCATTGTGGGCACCAATCAGCGGTAACACCATGTGCCACAGTGAGATCAGCTGGATGTTAAGTCCACAAAGGCTAATACAGCTCCACTTAGAACTCATGGCTTCCGTTCTTTTATTTAAAAGGCCTGAATGAATTTCTTTATGGCAAATTGAAACCTTCAGGTTAAATTTCTGTAGCAGAGACTCTAATACTGTAGTGTGACTCTAATTACATTCTTAATGTAATTGTATTTTATTTCAGATCCCAGTGTGTAGAATGGACTAGGGTACATAAAAAGAAGTAATTTCTTGCAGATTTTGCCATAACATAGGGTGTGCCAGGGAAATTCATGGGAGAAAAATTCGCAGTCTGTGAATTGAAGTTATATATTTGGACAGGTTCGGGTAGTCATTGTCTTCGAGTGGATTCCAACTCGTAGTGGTTTGGAACCAACGCTGACCTGACCATCTTTTGGGTTTCTGAGGCGTGGACTGCAGGGGAGGAGACTGCCCGTTTTTCTCTTGTACAGGTACTGGTGGATTTGAACCAACAGCAACGTACTAACTTTGGATTATCAGGGTGGAAGTGAAGGATAGGAGATCCCGACAAGTGCTCTGAGTTGGGGAGCTGACTTGAATTACATTACACCTCAGCCTCACTGCTGTCTGTTCCATTGTGACTCAACGAGCTTCTCGAGCTGTCAGGGCTGTGACTGTCATGGGAGGAGACAAGCCATCCTGCAGAGCTGCTGTGGACTTGAACTGCTCTAGACACACAGCCTTTGGGACAGCAGCACAGCTCCACGCGCTGCAGCGCCACTGAAGCTCCCTCCAATTAAACTAGATGGAACAGAACGAAAGTGGGACAAAACAAGGAGCGTCCCTGGAGCTCTGCGGACAGTTACAAACAGGAGAAACTTATGAAGAAGAACAGAAAATGCAAAGGAAACCAATCGATTTACACAGAAATTTTTTTTAAAAAAGGCTTCAGGGGTATTGCATAGCAGGCAATGATGAGGAACAGGAAAGAGGGCTTTGGAGTAAGCCATAGTTTTTTATATGTAAAAGTTATCTATTTTTATACATTACCCACAGTATCAAACATTTGTGTACATTCCACCAGAATAGTAGATAATTCTTTATTAAATTTTTTGGGTTTGTTTTGGTTTTATTTTGAAGTTATTAATTCCAAATTAACTATCTAATAGCTATTTTGTCTTTATTCCTTTGTAGAACTTTTTGACAACTACATGCAGCAAGATGCTCATGAATTCTTAAATTACCTTCTAAATACAATAGCTGATATTTTACAAGAAGAACGAAAGCAGGAAAAACAAAATGGCCGGTTACCCAACGGCAATATTGACAATGAAAACAACAACAGCACAGCTGACCCAACGTGGGTTCACGAAATCTTTCAGGGAACATTAACTAATGAAACCAGATGTCTTACTTGTGAAACTGTAAGTATGTCATGAAGTTTTATCTGGAAGAAGATGTAATTTGTTATATTCAGAGTTCAAGTAAACATGAAAATTGCAATTCATACGTATAGACTCATTGCTAAAAATGCACTGTATTGTTCTCATATAATGTGCACATAATGAATGTACTTACATAAAATGCACACATGCATATAATGCAAATAGCAAGCACAGGAAAATAACATGCAAGGAGCTGTGTGGTTTACAAAGCCACTATATACACTTATGTTTGTGTAAAATATGGCCTTTGCATTTGAAAGGAAGATGGCTGCATATTTTAATAATGTTCACTATTGAGATTGAGTACCGTTGGTGACAAAAAGATTTATTCTGTATTTTGAACTCTGGTTTTGTTTCATTTTAGGAGGTCATGGAACCAGATAGTGGGTTGAGTGTCTTGGTTAAGCTAGTAGGAACCTGTGGTCAGGGAGCTATATGAATTGGTTTTCCCTCTTCCCACAATTCTTTTGATTGCTTTTTGCTGGAAGAAAACACAGGATACTGCCCATCCTTGAGGAGGAGCCTATACTCACATGGTGGTTACCCTATAAAGATGAGCAGGGGGAGATTATCTGTAGGTGGGGTCAGGTAACCTAGTGCTTCTGGGCTGTTTTATTGAAGGGGGATATTTTTGACTGCTTTCTCACTGCAGAAATGAACAAGTTCCTTGCAAGTCAGGTATCCATTATCAGTTTTGTCAATCAAGATGTAGTGCCTCCTCCCACGCTTTTCCTTTGTTATAGAATCCAATTTAGAATTGGTCATTGCAGATAATCTGCTGAAAAATTAGTATAATTTGAGAGTATTTCTTTTTGAAAACCTAAGCTATCATCATTATGTGGATTCAGTAAATGACTGTTACTATCAAACTAACTAATCAGCTAAGTTGGAAGGATGAATTTTTCAGCTTGAGTAGATCCCATTTCTTTATTCAGTGTCAAATAGGTATTTGAGTACTAATTATGCTAGGTCAAAGATAGTGGAAGGATAAAGGGGAGAAGCTCTACTCTCGGGCTGCTTGTAAACCAGTTAAGGCTAACCAGTGAGTACTAGTCTTTGCGGTTCCAGTACCTTGAGCTGTGGCATAATGAACTCTGCCATAGTGCTGTTACGTTGTTATAGTAAAAGTCAGCTATTGGAGATCTCCAGCTGCTCCTCGGGAGCAAGGCAGGTGGTCTCCTCGTGTAGAGATTTGCAGCCTCGGAAATGCCAAGGAGGGTTGCTTTGTGGCTGAATTAATAAAAGGACAGTAGGCCATTTTTTATTTGTTTAGATATTTTTTTTTCTTCTTGGTGCTGAGGTTGCAAGTTGACCATGAAAACCAGAGAAGGGTGGTACTCATGATTGTGAATAGTGACTTTCTGCTAGTGGAAAAACTCAGAGAACTCCTTATTTTTACAGATAAGCAGCAAAGATGAAGATTTTTTAGACCTTTCTGTTGACGTGGAACAAAACACATCAATTACTCACTGCTTAAGGTATGTCTATCGTTTATGACTGACATTGCTATCGAATCTTTGGCGTAGACCCCTTTAATGCACGCTTGATACTTTCAGATGCTCACAGATTAATTTCCTTTGATGTTTATGCAGGGGCTTTAGCAACACGGAGACTCTGTGCAGCGAGTACAAGTACTACTGTGAAGAGTGTCGCAGCAAACAGGAAGCACATAAACGGTAACCTGGGTGTTCACGTAGCTTAGTGTTGGCTTTGGCCAGGTGTGTGTTCAGGGGTCTCCATGGCTGGTGCGGGGGTCTTCAAGTTCGTATGAAGGAAAATGTCTGGGCTGTATCACCGCTGAGACTCATTAGCTAGCCAGGAGGTAAATGCTGTTACACTTCAACCTCTTAAGAAGCCTTTGGCCCTCAGGTAATGTCCTACTGTTAAGTGACCAGAAACCTATAATGTTGAAATTTTTGTTTTTTAAACTTTCCTGGTTTACTGGTTGAGGGGTGGTGGTGGTGGTGGTGGTGTGTGTAAGAAGTGAATGGTGAGAGTGCTCCCTTCACCTCACCCTGGTGTCTGCTGTCATGCAGAAGATGCCAAGACTACCGTCTTCTCCTGTGTTGTCACAGGCAAGGGTTTTCTTTTCAAGGAATAGACCTGTTGTCATTATGCTACTTTTTTTTCCTTTTTTTTTTTTTTTAGTAATTTTAATAGCATTTAGAGTATGCTACTTTTTTTTTTTTAGTATGCTACTTTTATGATTTATATTTTCTTTCAAAGCAATCATAAGATCTTAAACCATTTAAAAGGAAAATGCAAATACATTATTCCTGGACCCTACACACCATTGTGTGTGTTGCCTCCTCCTTGTGAGGGGCTGCTTTCGAGTCACTTTAAACTCTTAGGGTCCTTTATTGTGTAGTGCCTAGGAACAAGGAAGTTTTCCTGTGTAACCATATTCATCAAAACCAGGAGATTAACATCAAGACATTACTGTTGTCTGACCATTACACCTTGTTTACAGGTCATCAGTTGCCCTAATGTATTTTGTAGGAAAAGAATGCATTCTAGAATCTTGTCTGATTTTAGAATTTGCAAGTCTTTGATCTTCCCAATCTGGAACAGTTCCTTAATCTCTTCTTACCTTTAAATGATCTTGATACTAGGGTTAGGTGTACCTGTGCATTGTAATTGGGATAGTGCTATTCGCAAGGCCCTTAGTGCTCAGAGCTAGAGAATATATGTGCATGTATGTATGTGTGTACACATTTATGGTTTCTCTTTCCTCTCCCTCCCTCCCCAGAGTTGTTGAGCAGGAACAGTGGCTGATAGTGAGAGGAGAGAAAGTAAAAAGCCCATGTACATTCTTACCATGGGAGAGATTAGAGAGGAGGTTTAGTATCCAGGTACATGTTATTGTGAGCGTAGACTGAACCTACCCCCTTGCATTTCGATGGTTTGACTTTGTGTATGAGGGTCAATTTCTGAGAATCATGGCTGAAAACAGGGATGATGTGGTCCCTGAGCTGCCCTCATCCCCATTGCTTTTTATTCTATTGGCTCCTGTAGGTGTTTGAGATTTGAACCAAGTGGTAAATTGTTGCTTGGAAGATAATGTCTGTCATGTGCTCGATCATCCTTTATTGAGGAAATGCTGTCTGGTGAAAAGGACACGTTTGCTTATAAAGACTATGCTTGGTTTGTCAAGATAATCAGAGACATTCTGAAAAGTCTAGGGCAGGTTTGGGGGTGTTTTCTTTAAGAGAATAAATGAAATTTCTTTGAGTAAATATGCAATACTTAATGTAGGAAGAGAAAGGCCTGTTTCTGTTTACTTCATATTGTTTTATATTAATTGGGCTTTTTTATTTTAAATTTTTTAGTTGACATTTTAATGAAGGTTTATCGAGACTTTGACTTTTCATTGTTGCATATTTTGTTCCCTGCCCACTCCTACCCCCCAGGTTGGTTTTTCTTTGAAAAGTAAAAAAAAAAAACAACAAAACACAAAAACTTTCATTATTACACAGTACCCCTCCACCCAGTCCACTCCTCCATGAAGTTCTCATTCTGGACTCTTGTCATGAAAATAATACCTAATCATACATTCCTTTCAAACAGTTCTCTCTCTCATCTGTTTCAATGCAGTATACATTATTTATCCCCTCTTTGCTTAGATTTCTCCTAACCCCAATGTCAGTCCTGTTTTGTAGCAGTGACATTATGCAGTATTTGTCCCTTTGTGACAGACATATTTCCCTCAGCATAATGTCCTCCAGGGTCACCCATTTTGTATATTTCATGAGTTCCTTGTTTTTCAGTGCTGCAGAGCATTCCATTGTGTGAATATACCACAAATTCTTTTTTTAAAAAAATGAATTTTAATGAAAGTTTACAGAGACTTAGGGTTTCCAGTCATTCATTATTGCACTTTTCTCCTTCCCCCTTCCCCTTCCAATTCACTCTCCTCCTTGAAAAGAAATAAAAACTCTTTCATTGTTATGCAATCCTTTCCCCCCAAGTCCGCTCCACCATGCACCCTTCACTCTGGACTTCTGTAATGACAAGAATACCCATTCATATATCCCTTTTAAACAGTTCTCTCCCTCATCTGTTTCAATGCAATATATATCATTCCTCCCCTTCTTTTCTGTCTTCCCTCAACCCTGATGTCAGTCCCATTTTACAACAGTGGCCCCTATACCTTATTAGTCCTTTTGTCACTGAGATATTTCACTCAGCATAATGTCTCCCAGGGTCATCCATTTTGCATAATATTTCATGAGTTCCTTGTTTTTCAGTGCTGCATAGTATTCCATTGTGTGAATATACCAGAGCTCTATCCATTTGTTTGTTGATGGGCACTTGGGTTGTTTCCCGCTCTTTGCTATTGCAAACAAAGCCACAGTGTACATGGGTGTGCGTATATATGCTTAGGTGGCAGTTATGGTTTCTTTAGAGTATATCCCCAGTAGTGGGATTGCTGGGTCAAATGGTATTTCTATTTGCAACTTTTTGAGAAAGCTCCATACAGCCTTCAATAGTGGTTGCACCTTTTTACACTCCCACCAACAATGAATATGGGTTCCAGTTTCTCCATAACCTCGCCAGCATTTGATGCTTGCTGTTCTATATTTTGCTATTCTTACTGGGGTGAGATGATATTCCATAGTTATTTTGATTTGCATCTCTCTTAGAGCTAGTTATTTTGAACATTTCTTCATGTGTTTGTTTGCCATCTGAATGACTTCTTTGATGAAGTGTCTGTTCATATCCTATGTCCATTTTTTAATTGGGTTATTTACCTTTATCTTGTGTGGTGCTCTAGTATTTTATAAATTCTAGATATAAGTCTCTTGTCTGGCATGTCACTACCAAATATTTTTTTTCCCAATCTGTGGCTTCCCTTTTTACCCTGTTGGAGAAGTTTTTGGATGTGCATAGAGAATTGATTCTTAGAAGGTCCCATTCATCTATTTTATCCTCTCCTGGTTGTAGAGAGTGGTTCTTTTACAGGCTTAGCCAATGTCTTAGGAGATTTTGTCTTCTTGTTTCTTTCTCCTAGGATGAAAGTTAAGAAACTACCCATGATCCTCGCCCTACACCTGAAGAGATTTAAGTACATGGATCAACTTCATCGTTACACAAAGCTCTCATACCGGGTAGTTTTTCCATTAGAGCTTCGTCTCTTTAACACTTCAGGAGACGCCACCAACCCTGACCGAATGTATGACCTGGTGGCTGTTGTGGTTCACTGTGGCAGGTAAAGACTCCTCGGGCCGGGGTGACAGCGCTGTGTTAGGGAAGCAGGGCAGTAGTATGCTGATGAGGGTTTCAGTGGAGCCTTTACAAGGCCCTGATGCTTGGCTGCTAAAGACCAGTGTATTTCCAATTGGATATTTCAGACATAATCCATTTTAGCCTTTCCTTGTCAGAACATTCCTTATATATGTTCTTTTCCCTATGGGAATGGTATACTGCCTTCATTGGATCTTTATTGTTCCTGTTTGAAAATGACTTTTGGTGGTAGAGGTGTTAAATGCCATTGAGTTGGCCTTGACTCACTATAAAAACTTGTCCAGTAGAGTAGAAGGAACCCCTGTTGTGCTCTGAGGTTAATTGGATTCATTCATTGTGTTTTTCGCTTTGAAGGTTTTTCAGTGGACTTTGGAAGTAATCTTCAAATTCCAGCTTCTGATTTGTGCCGATCAGTGAGTGTGTGTTCCCCTCCCTGCTCGCTGGTCATCTTGGCCTCTCCTGGTCCTCCTCCTCTGTACCCTGTGTACATGTCTGCTATATGCACATGCATTTAACTCATGAAGAGACAACTCCCAAAAAGATTCTCAAGGGAAAAGAGCATCCCATCTGCAAAAGCTAATCAGAATGTGTATTCAGAACAGAAAGCCTTCATAATTTGCTTTATCCTTTTAAAGCCAACATCCCTTTCCCTCTTGTTTTTGGAAACTTGTACCATCAGCATGTTTTATCCAACAAAAAACCTTTCTCATCTTTTTTTCCTCCTGCCTTTCTTCTCGGAGAACACACCAGAAGTCCCTGTGTTCCCAGAGAAACCCAGTCCCAAGTGTGTCTTTAAGTTGAACCTGAAGTTAGTTGGTACAAGAGAATATGGTTTGATAGTCAACGATATGAACCCACTGAAGGGTCTCCCGGCGTCATAATCAACTTGAAGGCCATGGGTTTGGTTTTTTTGTTTTGTTTTCTTTTTTTGGATTTTAGTACAATGGAGGGCTTGAAGCTCTACACCTCTTGATGAATCCTACTTCCACCATGTCTGTACTGGTCCACTTTATTCATTTTATATCACCAGTATCTGTTATGGAGACGATTTCCAGTAATTATTTCCTGGATGTTATTAGATATTATCATTAAAGGCCATGTTAGGCACCACCTACATCATGAACTAACTTTTCCCTTACTGGATGAATGCTCTCCATTTGCCAGCCCCCAGGACCCTGAAATCTTGCCTTGAGTTTTGTTTCTGTTGGAGTGTGTGTACTGTAGTGTCTACTTAGTACATGGTTATGTTGAGGTACTGTGTATATGCTTTGGGCACATGGTCAAGAGGAGACAGTCTTTGGAAAAAACCAGCATAAAAGAAGACAAAATTTGGGAAATAGGAGTGTCCATAGAATAAAATTAACCTCTTCTTCTCTCTTTCAGTGGTCCCAATCGAGGCCATTATATTGCAATAGTTAAGAGTCATGATTTCTGGTTATTGTTTGATGATGACATTGTAGAAGTAAGTATTCATTTTTAATTGCTTATATTTCTTAAAGTTTATTTGTATTATGCAATCTTCACTCATTTCTCATAGCTTCTTATTTGTATAGAACTAGTGGCACTGTTAGACAGATACCTGAGTCTTCAGGTGTGGTTTAATTTCTGCTTTTCTTCCCAAATGTCTCCACCCACTTCTGAGTGGCCATCTAACCATCACCATTCAGAGTAAACAAGGAAAAACACAACTTTTCAAAAAGTGCCATTTAAAAAAAAAATCCTTTGATTATTAAGGAGATGTTATATGTAGTATGCTCCAGTGGTGTTTATAAATCTTAATTCAAATATTGTCTGTAATATGTGTAACGAGGCACACAAATCTTAGACTTTTGCGTGTGCTCACACGTTCATGCATGCACATGTACACAGCAGCACACACGCACACTTCACCTGCCATTCAGATCAATACTTTTCACAGCCCAGAAGATTCCATTGTTCCTTTTCCTGATCACAACCACAAAACATTCTCTACCCTCTTTCCCAGAAAGTCAGTATTTTGAATATTGTCATTATGATTTATTTCCGTTAAATACTAATTAGCTAAGATTATAGGATTATTTGAGTCTGGCATTTTTTCACTCAGCACTCTTATCTCTGAGATACATTCTTATTGTCTATAGTGGTGGTGTTGTTGTTGTTGTTATGTGCCGTCAAGTCACTTGCAACTCATAGTGACTCTGTGTACAACAGTTCTGAAGCCTGTCTCCCTGACTCCAACACACCTATCCCCATTGCCGTAGTCCCTGTATCAATCCATCTCATCAAGGATCTTCCTGTCCTGCGTTGTTGCTCCACACTTCTGAGCATGATGTTCTTCAAAGATCGATCTCTCCTGGCCTTGTGCCCAAAGCATGTAAGACAGAGGTTCAAAATCCTAGGCTCCAAGGAGAAGCTTGGTTTCACCCTTTCCAAGACAGACCTGTTTGTTTTCTTGGTGGTCCATGGTATGCTCAAGAGTCTTCTCCAGCACCACAACTCAAAGGCATTAATTCTTCTATCATCTTTAGTCATCATCCAATCTTTCTGATGCATAGCAAGTAACTGTGAAGACCATGGAATGGATCAGGCACACCTTAGTCTCTAGACTGACATTGTAGCATCTCAGCACTCAGGAAAGGTCCCTGACAACAGACTTACCTAATGCAATTTGTCTTTTGATTTCCTGATTGTTGGTGCCAAGAGTATTGATTGTGGAGGTGAGCAAGCTGTAACTGTTAACAACCTCAATCTCTTCTCCATCTATTATGGTGCTACGAATTGTCCTAGTGGTGAGAATTTTGATGTTGATGTTTTCTTGATGTTGAGCTTCAATCCGTATTGAAGACTACAGTGCTTGACCTGAATGTCTGCCTCAGTTTCAGCAAGAAAGGTTGTATCATCTGCATAACATAGGTTGTTAATGAGTCTTTCTCCAATCCTCATGCCCATTCTTCCTCATAAAGCTGAGCCTCCCCAATGATCTGTTCTGTATATAGATTGAATGTATGGAGACAGGATGCATCCCTGATGCACTCCCTTCCTGATTTTGAACCATACAATGTTTCCCTTCTCTGTCCTGAGGAGTACTTCCAGGTCCATGTATAGGTTTCACATAAGTACAATCAAGTGTCCTGGGATTCCCATTCTCCTCATGGTTAACCACAATTTGTTGTGATCAACACCATCAAATGTCTTTACATAGTCAATGAAACATGATAGACATTTCTCTGGTACTCTCTACTTTTGGCCAAGATCCATCTGACATTGGCGATAATGTCTCTAGTGCCTTGGCCTCTTCTAAGTCCAGCTTGTATTTCTGTAGTTCTCTGTCAGTGTACTGTTCCAGTTGTTTCTGGATACTCTTCAGCAAGATTTTCCTTGTGTGTGATATGAGTGATACTGTATGGTAATTTCCACACTCTGGTCACCTTTTTTTGAAATGTGAACAAATACAGCTCTCTTTCAGTTGATCAAGTAGTTGTCCTCCAGATTTCTTGGCACAATCTGTATTATCAGGCTTTTAATTTTTATAAAAATAACTAGATTTCTTGCACTGCAAACCCAAAGGGTTTGCCTCTCCAGAAGTTCTAATCTCAAAGCAGTTCTGCAGGAGAAATACGGACAGTTTCCTCTTTTGTGACTTCAGCCTGTGAAAACCCACTGGAAGGTCAGCTATGAATCTGTTCTGACTGGACAGCAATTAGTTTGAGTTTGATTTTTTTTTTTTTTTTAAATACTCCAAGGAGCGACATTCATTTCCTAAACAACTTGACTCCGGAAAAAATCTATGAACTTTGATAAATATTGATAGTTGTAGAGGGGCATGAGGCCTTTTGTTTATAGGGTCACTGTGCATCATGCTTGACTCAAAGGCAATCAACAACAACAACACCAAATTGGTACCTTGAATTTTTGTCAGTTACTGATAATTCTGAATAACGTCTATGCATCCTTGTCCATTCCTTTTTTTACACTTTACACACTTCTTTCTCATGGCCATAAGATGCTCATATGAGATGACCATTTTAGTAAATCCTAGATGGTTTTTATGTGTGTGAGCCTATTCTTAGTAGTAGACTTGTTAGCTGAAAGTGTAGCTGTATTTACACTCCTCTCTAGAAAACACTGCTGAACATTTTCCCTGGGTTTTGTCCCCCTTTCCATTCCCATAAGTTATTGCCTGAGAACTCCAGTAAGCCCCACATTCATGTCCACCCTCAGAACTCTCTGAATTTTAATTTAAACCATTTGGGTTATATGAGCTATTTTATAGGTGAGATAATGAAAGTCATGACTAAGAAAGGTTGAAAATGTATGTATAAAAATGTATGTCAAACTGTTCAGAAATCTTCTTTGTAGTGTATAGTTCACCTTTGTAATTGGTGAATATGTTTTACATAAAATGTTTTACACATAATAACATTTCATTTATTAATCATGCTTAGTAAGAGATTAACCACAATAGCTTGTAATAAACTAGGACAATTATAACATGTGCGATGGTAGAAGTAGGGGAGCTCCTGTAGACTAGGGAGTAGGGAGTTGTGCTACCAAATCAGAGGCAGGCAGTTTGAATCTGCCAGCTGCTCTGAGGGAGAAAGATGAGTAGTCTCTCTTTTTCTTTTTAAATTTATATTGGCTTGCTTACAAAATTCCTGTACATTGTGTGTCATTCATGTACATTGTGTTTCACACGTTCCATCATTTTGCATTATGTTTCATGCACTCATTCCCATACATTGCGTTTTATGAAAGTATCACCATTAATCTCTGCCCACTTTTACCCCATCTTTTCAGGTCTCCATTGGATCTTTCCTAATTCCTTCTCTCCCTCCCCCGCCCAGCACAGTCTGCCATCCCAGGGATTTGCACCCCCCACTTCCCCTTTTGGACATGAGTTGTCTCTTCTGTGCAGTTTACAAAATCTGAAAAACCACTAGAGGGTCAACTATGAGTTAGTCCTCACCTGACACACAGCAGTGAGTTGAGTAGTGAGTGTTATGTGAATTGAAGTGAGTGTAGACCTTGTGATGTAGCATTAGGCTACCATTTCCAGACTGTAGTTGACCAAAGGTAACCAAACCCTCCAAAAATGAAACCACTGGACAGAGGGAACTACTGTATATAAAGATGTTATTGTTGTTAGGTGCCGTTGAGTTGAGTGCAACTCATAGTGACCTTTGAACAATTATTGTATATTGTGGTGGCTTAAAATGCCTTTCATTGGAGTTGTTGTTGTGTGCCATCGAGTTAAAACCAACCCATAGCTGACTTTCCAGTAGTTTCCGATGGCAGTTAATCACCCAGGAGGAGATTGCCCATCCTTCTCCCATTGAGCAGCTGGTGGATTCAAACTCTGTGCCTTCAGGATTGCAGAACAGCTTCTTACCACTAGGCCAGCAGAGCTCCTATCAGGAAGAAATTAGGAGGATAAGGAGCTGACCAGAAGACTTCAAAGGGCAGGTCAGGAAGACAAAACTAAGTATTAAAATGAAATGTGCAAAGAGCTGGAGTAAAAAAATCAAAAAGGATGAACTCACACAGCATTACTTAAGCTAAAGGAACTAAAGAACAAATTCAAACCTCAAGTTGCATTACTTAAGGATGCTGTGGGCAGAATATTGAATGATCGAGGAAGCATCAATAGAAGATGGAAGGAGTACAGAGAGTCACTGTATCCAAAAGAACTGGCTGACACAGAAGAATTTAATGAAATAACTTATGTTTAAGAGGCAGTGGTGATGAAGGAGAAGTTTAAGCTACACTGAAGAAACTGGCAGAAAACAAGACCCCAGCAATTGATGGAACACCACTTGACATATATCAACAAACAGATGGAGCCCTGACTGTGCTTACCAGGTAGTACCAAGAAATCTGGAGAATAGTCCCCCTACCCAATTGTCTGGAAGAGATCTATGTTTATTCCCATTCCAAAAAGAGGTGATAGACAAGAGTGTTGAAATTCTTGAACAATATCAGTAATAGCACATGAAAGCAAAATCCTGCTGAAGATCATTTGAAAATGACTGGAATGTACATCAGCAGAGAACTGACAGAAATACAAGCCAGATTTAGAAGAGTATATGACACTAGGGACATCATAGACAATGTCAAATGGATCTTGGCCAAAAGTAGAGAGTACCAGAGAAATGTGTTTCATTGACTGTGCAAAAACATTTGACTTTGTGGATCACAACAGTTGTGGCTAACCTTGATTGTGCTCAGGTGAAACCTATACTTAGAACAGGAGGCATTCATCAGTACAAAGCAAAGAAACACTGCATGGTTCAGAATCAGAAAAGGAGTTTGTCAGGGATGTGTCCTGTCTCCATACCTTTTCAGTCTATATGCAGAACAGATCATTATACAGACTGAACTTTATGAGGAGGGATGTGACATGAGGATTAGAGTAAGACTTCAACAACTTACGTTATGCAGATGACACAGCCTTGCTTTCTGAACCTGAGGAGGGCCTAAAGCATTTGCTGCGGAGGATCAATATTTAAAGTTCAACATCAGGAAAATGAAGATTCTCACCACTGGGCCAGTTGGCAGCATCCTGATAATGGAGAAGAGATTGAGATTGTTTCACAGTCAACACTCTTGGCACTAGCAGTCAGGAAATCAAAAGATGAACTGCATTAGCAAAATCTGCTGTCAACAAACTCTCCATTGAACAACAGCAGTGACAGTCTAGATACTGAGTTGTGCCTGATCCAGGCCATGACCTTCGCAATTACTTACTATGCATCAGAGAACCGAATAATGCCTAAGGATGACAGAAGAATTGATGCCTTTGGGTTGTGGTGGTGAAGAGTATTCAACATACCATGGACTGCCAAGGGAACTAACAAAGCTGTCTTGGAGTGGATGGATGAAACCAAGCTGCTCCTTGGAAGCTAGGATTTTGAGACTTTGTCTCACATATTTTGGGCATGTAGCCAGGAGGGACCAGACCATGGAGAAGGACATCATGCTTGGAAGGCTAGAGGGACAGTGCAGGAGGGGAAGAGCCCAGATGGGATGGATTGACAGTAAATGGGGAAATGGGGAAATGGACTCAGATGTGTCAGAGACTCTGAGATTGGCTTAGGATTGAACAGAGTTCAGAGGTATTGTTTATAGGGTCTCTGTGAGTTTTAGTCAGCCTAACACCAATACCTTTCATCTTGCACTGCTAACCAAAAAGACCATCTGTTCATATCTTCTAGCTGCTTCATGAGAGAAAGATGGACAGTCTCCTCTTATAAAGATATTTAGCCTCTGAAACCTGACAGAGGGATTTCAGGGTCTGAATCAACTCTAGGCTGTGGGCTTGCATTCTGGCTTTTACCATATATTCTAATATTTCTCTTTGCCTCACAGAAAATAGATGCACAAGCAATTGAAGAATTCTATGGGTTGACATCAGATATCTCAAAGAACTCTGAGTCTGGCTACATCCTTTTCTACCAGTCTCGGGACTGAGCGGAGATACAATGAAGAGAGATTCGCTGCCTCATGTCTTCTGCGGTTGTTGTAGAAAGGATCAGGCACTGATTGTCCAAGCCAAGAAGTATGCAGGGAACTCAGAGGGCAGTGGCACACTTTGCACACAGTAAAGCAAAGACTGGAAGAACAAGCCCCTCCTACCACGGTGGTTGATTGATTTGCTCAGGTATCTTGTTGTCCATGCAGTTCATAAAGCCAGCGAGTACAGCCAGAGACCCTGGCTCCCCTCGTCCAGCAGCCTTTGGGTCAGGACTTGCATTGTCTCTGTTGGGGAACCAGTAATGGCTCGGGCTCCTGGGGTTGCAATAGAAGGAATAAGAACCTGCTCTAGATTGTATTGATTATGTCAGAGGAGAATCTGGAATACTCCACACCAGCTTGCCCATGGTTGGTATGGTAGATCTAAAACACATGCTCCATGGTTTGGTTTTTTTTTTTTTTCTTCCCAGGCATAAACTATAAATACTTTGGGCCCAAAACACTTGCAGTTGCCTTCCTGATGTAATCAAACTAACAGCTACTAGTAGAATTCAGTGTCAGGAAGACAAAGATGTCTTGCTTCTCTGAAGAAGCTTATAATAATATACAGTATATGTATATGTAGGGAACAATCGGTCAGACATGGCTCTTTGTTTCCCCAAGGGGAAAGACTGGCTTTGTATTAGGAGTTTTTTCTTATTTATTTACTTCAAACTGGTAGAGTCTGAGTATTGTATGAAGTGCCCATGATTCTGTTGGTAAATCTGTGTATGTTTTTATTAGCTTTTGTCAATTTAATTTGTCCTTCTCTTGGTTTCTATTTTAAAGGTGAGTTTTAAATTCCATTTGAAATCAGTAGGACACTTTAAGAAAGAATTTCACTGAGGGGAGGTAAATACATTCTTTTTTGCAGGGGGAACCAATACATCTCTGACTAAATACTGGTTCTTTGACAGTACCTTCTAAATCACTTAGTTTATTCAGCTTTAATTTTACTAAAATGGATAAAAACAATCCCAAACCAGGCACCCCACAACGTATCTATGACCATTTTCCTTAGGCATAGGAATGATGGAATGATTCAAGAAATTCTGGTTCCTGGTGGGATAAGGGATCCTTTCCATATGCTAGAATTCTCTTTCAGGTTGAATCATGCTTGGAAAATTGATGTTGTAACAATTAGGCTGTTTTTTAGAAGCCTTTCTTTCACCTGGAAAGAACGAATCCATTCTTTGTAATAACTCTGGCAGCCTGGGTAGATAGCTAGCTAAAAACTCTTTGAAGATTAAATTTTAATGAAATCATTCAAGATAAGTATTTTTAAAATCTATAGAAAGAAAGAATGTAATATGAAAGAATCATTTAGGAGTTGAAATTTGTGTCTGTTGAGGGATTTTTAAACATGTAATAAATGTAATATAAAATATATACAACAAATTAAGTTGTTATTGACACTTTTCCATGCATCAGTATGTTGTCTGATAGGGGCCGAATGAGATCTGCAGAAAATAATTGGATATGTGGTCCAAATAATAGCAATCAGGCCTTGGAAGCCCTTCATCAAACCCTTTTCAGACAGTAATCTTTCTATCTCTCTTTTAAATTGCTCTTATTTTCTAAAGTTATTTTACTAAAACTGTTGTATATGAAGAACAGCAAAAGAAATAGAATGTGTTTTTGTCTGCTGCTATTGTTAACATTTACTTAGTGTCTCTATCTTTTCGCTCAGGAAGGGACTTCACCTTCTCCTTCTGCGAACAGATCTTTAACAGGGTCACGTAGCTGCCTGAGCTGTTGAAACATGTAACTGAGAGAAAATGCTGACGTATTTTAATAAACTACTTTTCACGATCCAGTTTTTAAAGCCTTACCCAAGCTGGAATTAATTGTTTTGTACAAATTCTCCATGATCTGTCCAGTTGCCCTAATTGCAAAGAATTATAACAGGGAGAGGGGCTGGGGGGATGTCTTAGCGAATGAAGGTGGTATGTTCTTGTGCTGTTTGTCTGAAGGGCTTAAGCCACATTGTCTTGGAGTTTATCACTGTCCTCCTGCAGTTTTCAGTATACTGAAAAAAGGGTAAAAATGAAGCAGAATCAGTTTTTCTATTGGTTCAGCCACAGCATGTATAAGAAAGAGGAAGACATTTGTGTAGAACTACAGCAGTGGAGTACATTGTATTGGTTTTCCCATTTTACAGTTTTTAAAAAGTGGCATAAATGATGGTTAAATTTCACATCCTGCAGGTGATCACATTTCCTTTGGGTCCCATGGTGGTTGCGTGTTTCATCATATCCACACCGCATGCAATGGTATGATTTGTCAGGGGAGGGGCCTACTCTGAGCACAGCTGAATGGAAGTCAGAACCTTCTGTCAGAGCATAAAGGTCAGGGTTGAGAAGAATGAGGCAGATGCAGCCAGAGCAGTGACCCGGGAGAAAGCATCTGGAGGTTGTCTGTGGGTTGACTGGTTAGATGAAGGGCAGAGTCAGGTTGTAATTAGTGGCTGAGTGCTGTGTAACTATGTACATGTTTGTTGGGATGGCTGTCCCATATTTTGTATATTGGAATAAAAGTTTCTATAAATTATCTTAGTGAAAAGTAAATATTCTAAACTAAGTCCTCCCTCTTCTAAGCCGCATGGCTTCTGTCTGAAAACATTCTCCTGAGAAGATATCCTTGAGACAGGGGCCATGCGACCGGGAAGAGGGAAGAAGGGAGTGTGTCATTTTTGGCTCTCGTTGCCTCTCACCATCCGTGTAGGGCTTTTTCTTTCCTCAGTGGTGATGGAAAGACCTCACTTTCATAACTTAACTACTCTTGATACTTTCTCTAAAGACACTTTCAGTGCAGATGCTCTCCTGAGCTATTGAACAGGGAGCTGGGAGGTTAAGGCGCTCAGTTCCTGCCTCTTCAGAGAACTTAACCCTGTGACCTGGGGCAAGTCCCTTAACCTCTCTGTGCTTCTGCCTCCCTGCCTTGTTAAATGGGAGTAACACCTACCTCACAGGGTTGTTGTGGGGGTTAATTAGATATAATGTCTGTAAAGCATTTAAGGTTCTCGAAGAAGGCCCTATACAAATATAAAATATCTATTAAAGTCGGTTTATTTGTGCTTCTGTGTTTAAGTGTTGGTTCTTTGTGTTTGTTTGTTTTCACCTACGATGCAGTTATGAATTAGAATATATACTCAGGTAATTTTTATTACATTTACTTAAAGGGATTTTCTTTCAAACAGCATTCCATATGAACACAGAATTTAACACATCCCTGCCTTCAGTCATGGAGCCCTGATGGCATAGGGGCTTGTGTGTTAGAATGTTAACTGAAAGGTCAGTGGTTCAAATCCACTAGCCACTCCATGGAAGGAAGAAGAAGCTATCTTCACCCATTACAATTTATAACCTTTGAAACCCAGGTGTGGGTCACCAGGCCTCACTGCACTGAAATTGGTGCATTAAATAAGTACAAACCTCATGTGTCTTTATTTAGTAACGTTGTTTAATGAGGAGGAGGTATACCCAAATTTAAGCTTTTAAATTTGGAATCCTCGAGTTTGGGAAGGAAAGTACATTAAAAGTCAACAATTTTGACCATGCCTCATTCCTCCATGACTTTAGTAATTGATTCTATAAAATATTTTTGGTTATCCATTCCAGACCATAGTTTAGGTATTTGCCCTATTAAAGGATAATCATTCATATTTCTTTATTCTGGAGCTCATGGAGAAGAATGTGACATCAGAATTAGAGGAAGA